CACAATTCACAAATCATCATCTCATCTGGTTGGTAGAAGAGCAAGTGCTGATTAGGATGAATTATAAATTAGGGATCGGATCATCAAATCATCTGTGATGTCACGCTGGACAGAATACCACAAAAGCTATATATATTCTATGAATTGTACATGGACTTGTTAGGCAATCAAACAGCCCACGCATTATTTAATGAAATCAGACAAAACCGCTTGAGATTTATTTAATGAAAACATCGAGGAGACCATCAATAGGACGAGACATGGTACGTAATTTAATTACAAGCATTATAGTACAGTTTCCATGTACACGTGAAGTGAAGTGCTCTGTATATATTGAAATCGTACAAATTAATTAAGGTTGTGTTGTAATACTACTGAGAATACGTAGAAAATACTGATATAGTCAAGTTAAATACGATCGAGTACCAAGTTGATCCAATTTAAAAGTAAACAGGCGCATGATGAAGATGAACTTCCTTCTCTTGTAGATTGGAATAGGAAAAAAGATGACAACTTTTCAGGTTTTATGCAATGGGAAGACATTTAATTAGGCGGACCATAATGTCTGTAATGAGTTGTGAAAGAGAAACTTTAGATCAACTGCTTTTCGAATTTAGAACTTTTTTTTTTTTTTTTTTTTGTCGCTGGGTATCGGTCACTCCGGACTGGTAATACCGTCTGTGCCACTATTCCCATCGCCCGGGGAGAGCGGGCCCCACCGATCCCCGAGAGTATCACCCCGGACACTCAGCCTTGGGGTCGAACCCCAGACCTGTCTCACCTAATGAGGCTACACAAGCCAGCTGAGCTGCTTTTCGAATTTAGAACTTGATCAAAAATTTCAATACTTCAACTATTCATGTACAATGACACGTGTTTTTTTAATCACCATTTTCTACAGAATGGGTTTTTTTTTTTTTTTTAACAAAAAAAAAAAAAGAAGGACTCAGTAGTGCTCAGTCAAAATCTTCTGATTGATCATTTGCTTCACTCAGTGTCTTGTAAAATACTCTCCCAATCAAATGTAGAGGATGGCCAGCAACAACTACATAAATTAAATGTGGATGCTTGGGAGAGCTGTAGGGTAATTTGCTTAGTCTCTCTCTTTTTTTTTTTTTTTAATTAGGAAAAAAGAAAAGAAAAGAAAACAAATGTGACCCAAATTCTTCTTGCCCAAAAGGTAAAACAAAAGATAACAAGGCTAGTTTCAATAATGTCCCAAATTTCTTATCATTCCTCCTCAGCCAAGATGCTGGCTAAGGGAGAATCCTAAGTAGTCTATGAAAACAAAAATACTTTTCTTTCCTTATGGGAACATTGTAGGGTATTGACGGACGTAGAAGGAGCTCATTGGCGATTCCCCAACTCTTTTTGCAGGTGAATTTCAACTTTTCGTGGCCATGACAATAACAGACAGGACCCTGGGATTTCAGCTTTTGAACCTTATTTCTGGTTGTAAAATACTAAAACCATGCTCGTGGGGTTCGTCTAAAAGGCAATATAGATAGGTCCGTGGAGTTAAAAGCTTCAAAAGTTGGAATGATTCTGAGTTTGCTGATGCAGCTTAGATTTTATGCTGAATGCGAGACAGCAACACTCTCAATTTCCCGGACAACCCAAGTGTCCCCATTTCCAGCGCCAAAATTTGGCTAACATGCCACAAAAGCAAAGAATACGGATTCCTATATATTTTTTCAACAAGACAAATTTTAGTTTTCTTTCTGAGGATGCAACATGCTTAGTTCTATTTATTTTCGCACAATATATAGACAGTAAAGTAAACTACGCCACACCTATTGCTGATAGTGTGAAGAAGATTGCATTATTGATCATCAAAAGCAAGAGAAGACAGAGATATTTGAGATGGGTTTAGGAGGAAATACAGATTGCTGTAACACAAGCATCAAAATGCCCAAACTTTTCTAGCTATTTTGCACAGTCTTGCATTTACTTGATAAAAGTCATCACGTAGCTTTGGTTTGGTCAATTTTTAAGGCAAACAAACAAGGGAGAATTGAAAAGCTGCCTTTGGCAACTCGCATTTTTCTCGTTGGATGCTTTGTTTGCATCAAAAGAAGCTGAAAGGAGAAAATTGAAAGGAAGGGGGCTCCCTCGAGGGAGCGTGGTTGCAGTTTTTGTTCTTTATTGCTTTCTCATAGTGCCTGGACCTCCATTTCAAAGAGTGGAGACAAAAGAGTCACCTATCTAATGATCAACCAACCTATATCCGCCTCACTAATTAGAGTCTTTTATGCTCTACAATGTATCTTGTCATAGTCAGAAAAGGAAATCACGAAGCCTTTTCTGCTAGATTATTTTTTGAAAGTAGGCAGCTTTGATCGAGAATATGACATAATTTTCTATATCTTTGCTTGTTCATGGGGCTAAGCAGACCGATAATGATTGGTTAAATCCAAGGAAAATGATAAAGCTAGTATTACCAGTTCTTCAGTTGGACCTATCGAAAGAAATGAAAGATGATGCGCTGCTCAGCCGAAAGCTAATATGAACAGTGGCATCATGCAAATTCAATGAACATTTTCTAGGCTTGCCTAATTGTGGCCGGAAATAGTGACATTGCTACGTAGTTAATCAGGATTCCTCAAATTGAGTTTGAAAATTTGTCGCGTAAATCCACCGCATTCCCATCTAGAGTCAGAGTATTAGTATGCTGAGCGAATTCACCAACAAGCAATGTCACATTTTCCTTTACTTTCAAGCAATATCACTACAACAAGTTAACGAGTCCTCTGAGAAAAAAGGGAGTCAAACTCTGAAATCTTGATGGTAGGACTCGTTAACTTGGTTATGATAATATTGGTGAAGTCTCGTAGGTCACAATATGTCGCAAACATGCTGCAATTTACCATCGCTACACATCCCGAAAAAAAAAAAGACTCCATGCCTTCCTCTTTTGATTAAGAAAACAAAAAAGTAAAAAAATTTTTTTTTTTTTAAAAAAAATCAAGATAAGAAAGAAAGGTCTAAAAATGGCTGAAAGGCCTTTACAGAAATCCATTTTAGTGCAAGCCACATCAAAATCCCACCATAAAGCAAGAAAGAAAAGTTTGATGGAGAAATTGTTGGAACTTAATTAATTTGCAATGTCGTGGTCTAGCATATGCACTATTCCAACTATAGCGATTAGAGATAGTTTAAAGAAGAATGTGGAAGAAGGATTATCAGTTTGCATGATTGAAACTCGTGTTAAAGAGTATGACCAAATACTTTTACAACGTGATTTTATCACTTGTCCTTAGTCTATAACAAAGCAAGACGGAAAGAAACAGTATTAGCGCGTGATTATATTACTAGTACTACACGAATGCCTCCCCTCCCCAATTGCTTTTTGCAGTGGCCAATGTTGATTAGGACTAGAAAAAACCTAACCTTTTCACATTACTTTACGAGCAAATTATCCAGGAACATAATCCTCTTCTTGTTCCCTTAGATTTTAATTGTTCTCTCAACTTTCTTGATTCATACACTAATTGTCTGGGCTCCTGTTTTGCTTTTCAATGCATGCAACTAATTTTCTTATTCACGAAAGATGTGTACTTTGTCGCGCTGGAAATTTAAAAAATGGCGACATCTTGCATTTTCTAAGAAGCGTCCCAACTTCAAGGGAAATCATGCAGTTCTATATTATTGAGACTGCAAATCCTGAGCCTAAAAGATTATATTACCTTGTGCACTTTATCTGAAGCACGAAGTTTCGCGCTTGTTATTTAGCACCTTAGGAACTTGTCTTCTTCGATGTCAACAGCAACATTTCGCAGGAAATGTGGGTTAGCAATAGCGCCTCTTCTCACTGTTTTATACTATTTGATAACATTAGAAGGATTGTCTGAGGTATTCAATTAGGATTTGCCTAACATGTAAGACTGGAATCTAATGTTTGTGGAACTTAATCATTAATTTGCACATTGGAGACAATACTTAATGCCAATGCACAACTTTTACAATGAGAATGTAACATGACCATCGGTTTCTTTTTTTTTTTTTTCTCCCTCCTCCAGTCTCAAAGGGTCTTAGATTAGTGGTGGAGAGACGTTGATCAACTATGGTATGCCCCTATGGGAATATAAATTACACCTTCAAACTTGCAACACTGTATATAATTGTGAAGTGATTTAGCACCTCTCCCGATTTAGTTAAGCCTTTTAAACTCTGTGGGCTGGTCTGATTCTCGTGGAGTCTCAAGGCCCCTTCCTATTGAGAAATCCTAAAACAACCAAGTCTCTTCTTTCTTCGTGTTGTTGTGACATGCTTGCGAAAATAAGTTCGAATCTACATTTGAGAGTAACACTTGAGTGTGTTTGGATAGGAGATTATTTGAAATAATTACTGCAATATTTTTGATGATGTAACGTATGTGAGATTAAAAGATTATTAAAAAGATAAAAAGAACTAATTGAAAATTATAATTATGACGCAAGCAAAATAATATTTGGATGAAAAAAATACCGGATCTGAAACCTTTTCTTGCATAAGACTTAGTGGTAGCTACTCACCATAGTTTTGTAGTGACTTAGCTTTGGGCTTCGGCCTCCGTTTGACCCAAAAGAAATAAATTTCTTGTCTTTGGTTTTGCTGCCTTTTATTTTATTTTATTTTATGTCTATGAGCTGTATTAATTCAACATTTCTCCACTCTATCTCCTGTAAAATTCGACATACCTTTCCCACTTTTTTGTTATTGTTGATTTTGCATTGCTGGGTTGTCCAACAAAAGAGAAAGACGAGAAAAGTTTGAAACCTCACTTATTTGAAAAAAATAAAAAAATTCCCGCAAGAGAACATATGTTGGACCCCTTTTCCTTCTTGTGAGGTTTAAAAAAGTCTGCCTTGAATTGAAATAGCAACACGTTAGCCCAATTTTTCTAGCAAGCCCAACAAAACCAAATTACCCATTCTGGGTGGTCTTGGGATTTGTTGTTCCAAGACCCAAAAGGACAGGGCTTCAAGTTTCACGGCATAGTCCTCTCCGAGTCTCCTTATCCTACGCAGCCCCGGCAATCACCCGCCAATTCCACCACCTAAAACGATGGCTCAAACAACCACCATTTTATCCCTAACCGCCACACCCAAGCCAATTCCCGCCAAACACACAGTCCGGAGCAACCTTATCCTGCGCACCCTCTGCACTATCCCACGCACTCATCCCCTTCTATTTTGTGCAAATGCCATCTCAGCAAAGCCTTTGCGAGCAAACCCACCTCAGAAATACATCTACCCTGACCCCAACCCAGAATTTGCTGAAGCTGTAAATCCCATCTTTTATTTTTGTTTTTTTTTTTTCCTGGTTGAAACATGAAATTTTGACAACTCCTATGTCTCTTCTGTTTTTCTTAAATCAAAAGTTTTACTTTACGCGTGCTTAAAAAATTGAAACTTTTAACTCAACATATATTTGGTCTAAATTTTGACATGTTTGTGGGAATTTAGGAGACGAAAAAGTTCAGAGAGGAGCTGGTGAAGAAGCTATCAAAAGAAAAGGAGACTTATGGGGGTGAGCTTGATGCTGTGGTAAATGTCTGTACAGATGTAAGTAGCTTGTTTTTTAATGATAGTTTAATTTCTGTTGATTGAATGAATTTTTGAAAAGTATCTGACACTTCATTGCACAATTTAATGGAAAATATATCAAATAACATGAGGATCAAAGACCGCAGTGCAGTTAAAAATATAGCATGGAATATTACCTTCTAGAATAAGAAAATAAAATGAGATAAACGTCAATCATGATACGGTCCTGGAGAGATTTGATTGGATCAATTGGGGAGTAGAATTGATTGTGCAGTAGAAGTTTTATGTTTTTCACTCAGACCAATTATGTGACATTTAAACTGGCAAATTGAATGAACGCGATATTTTTGGCTCAACAACTTGAATAAAACTCGCGTTATCACCTTCATGAAATGTGAAGGCTGATGATGGTTTGATACCTCTGCAATCTGCATCATGTATCGGTATTTCATGCACCATTTATTCTTTCATTACTCTTTTAGCTGTAGATCTGAAGCACATTAATTTTGAGCTGCTACTTCCTTCTTCATGTACTTAAACTGAGAGTATTTTCATCTTTGATTTTTTTTCCCCACTCGCAATCGGGACATACTAAGATTTTGAGAAATTGTGGCCTTGAATCATTGTAATTAGTAGCCATTACTTCTTGTACCTCATTAAGTTTCGATGATAAGTCAAGAGCCAGCCGACATCAGCGAAGCTACAGAGGCAGCAGTCTCCTGTTTTTCATTCGTTCCATCATCATGATACTTGACCTGGTTAATTAATTGCACAAAACCCATGACGAAACACAGTCTACAAAACCCATTACCGACCGACAGTGGAAGGGACACATGACGAAATCTTTCAATCAGGCCTTCTCTTACTTACTTAATTGCAATGGATAAGAAGAAAACTCGGTAATTGCAGGAACTCCAGCTTTTGAATGGAGTGGTACTACTGACTTGACATTTTATTCTTCGCATAGATGAAATCTGATCTTTCATTGCTTATTAGTATTATGTTTCGAGGGGAATGCTACCGCTATCACAGTCGGCTTCAAAAGGTGGTGCCGTAGGGTCTCGCTGGGCCATAATAATATGATGGAAGCTTTCCCTTGTAGCACTAGCGCTGTCATACAGACATGCAAATCACTACCTGCATAAATCTTTTGACTTTTCTGGGAAAAGAGACAAATGGGGAATCTGAAATTCAGTAGTATTTTTGGATTTCAGTTCCTGTGAGTGCATTTTTTTTGTATCATTTTAATGGATTGCATAGTGAGAGGAAAGGCAAGGGCTGCCTTTTGGTTTCATCCTTCCCCTTCCCGGGAGAGTGGCCATATTTCATCATGTTTGTCTTCTTATCCTTTGCACTCTGGGATATTGGAAGCTGCTGCTTGTCCTCTTCTTGCACAGACTTATCTTCGAAGAATATTCAATTAATAGGAGATATAGAAACGCGTTAAGAAAAAAAAAATTCTCAAGATAAAACAAGAGAAAAGTTGGTGGCGCAGTTGTTTCTTTGTTTCTCTGGGATATTCGAAGGTTTATGGAAGAACCAAATGCGACGGTCCAAAGATAAGTGAGGAGAGAAACTTATGCCAACCGTGACCGCCGTTTGGAGCAATTTGACATGGGGGTTCATACTGTTCAATAAATAAATGCAATTGAAGAGAGCTCAGATTTGCAGAATTTTGATGAACTTCTCTGGCGAAGTAATTGCTTGCAGAACTATTAAATTACTCCCTATTATGAACTTGAAACATCTTTTCCTTTGGGATCTGACTTGTTTTGACCTAGATATGGTTGAGCTATTGAATCTTGGAAGAAATATCTGATCTTAAAACCAGACAAACCACAGTTCTAACCTTTTTCCAGTTGGATTTGACAATTTCTGCCAGCAATTGTCTAGTAATAAAGCTAAGCCCTTGATTTCATTTAACTGCTACCAAGTGTTGAATGGCTTAAGAATGATAATGGTTCCAACTTCCAAGCCACTCCTTTTAAACCTGTTTCTTTATCACATCAGATATTTAGCGAATTTCTGTACTCGGAGTACGGAGGACCTGGAACATTATTGGTGGAGCCTTTCACTGATATGATGGTGGCACTGAAGGAGAAGAAACTTCCTGGAGCGCCTTTAGCTGCACGAACATCCTTGTTATGGGCTCAAAATTTTCTTGACCGCGACTGGGAAATTTGGAACTCTACACCAGAGAAATGATAGTAGTCTTTTGTGGTGTACTGTACTAACTACCAATATTTCCATCCGTTGTTTCCTTTCCGATCAACCGAGAGAACTAAGTAGAGAAGTAATTTGCAGGTTCATTATGATATATTTGTCATCGAACAGTGTAAGTTCTCATTGCTCTCCTATCTATTATACATCGATATGATTACTGAGCATCTACGGCTGAAAGAGTGAAACGGTGTACAGATATTGGAATTCACTTTAGTTCATTCGCTTGAACTGTATTCCGTCGCTATGAACAGAAGATACCTCAGCTTGCAGCCTCAGAAATGCTCTGCAAAGAGGGCCGCCATGATTTAGACCTGCCAATGTTTGTTGATCCTGGCCGCTGCCATTGCTTTTCGTGTCTTGTCACCTGAAATGGTTAATTGTCAATGAGATCAATAATCCTGGGTAGGACAGGTTAATCATCATGAGATGCTTGTATTGACCCTTCTAGCCTAATCCTGGGTAGGACTTTTGCCCATCATGTGCTTTTGTTTGTCAGAAATTGATATCTTTAATTTACAGAAATCCATGAAAAGGCCAAATCAGAGAATCAGATGTCCATGAAAGCTGCCCGGTCATTTTTTAAAACATAACAATCTCCAGCTGTTCCAGTTTTATTATGACTAAGAAAACGTACAAAAATTTAGGAAGATGTCCTAACTGCTGCATAAATGTATAATATATTAGAGCGAAATTGCAGTTGCCAAGTTCGAGCTGCAGCTGATTGGCCGAAATAGTTTACCTGGCGGTTGTTGTTGTCCAGTTCAGACTTCCCTGTTTCTGCCCCGCCGCTTGAACCTTGCTTTTCTGGTTGTGCTTCCAACTTGACAATGGATTCTGCCTGGTTCTTCTTCATCCTTGCATGCTTCTTTGCTCTCAATACTTTCATAACCTCTGAAACACCAAAAAGCAACTCGAACTTCAATTCAGGAATCACATAATGAGCTCTTCCCTCGAATAACAGCAACTTGGGGTATATATTTTTCCAAGAAACGAGAAAAAGTTGTGGAAACTGAAATCAACATTATGATGTAAAGATTACTACGTCAAATCACATGGGCTCAATCTTTATCGCCCTTATGACATACCATTTCCCCCCCCCCCCCCCCCCCCAAAAAAAAATAATAAGGGGACAAGAAAAATTGGTAGCAGAGTAAAACATGAACGATACCTTGAGTTGTGACCAGTCTGTAAGCTCTGCCAAGAACTAGAGTTTCGCTAGGCCTCAGAAGCTTTACCCGAGTGAACCGAACCGTTTTATCATCTGAATTCTCCTCACCACCAGTCATAGGCAGCGGAATTATGAGAGAAACATAATGACCAGGATTCATCTTCATGACTTCACTAGCAGTCACAGGCCAATACATCCTATCTATCCTTCCACTTGGATGTTGTATTACCAGTGCTGCAGCATCCACGGCCTGACAGTTTCCCATCTATGTGTATGCACTTTTATCTATCCTTGTCTCTCTAGAAATTTAATCAAGAAACAAGAAGTCTATAGAGTAGAACACAAAAGATTGGTAGCTAGATAAGGGAGGAAGAAGGAAGGAAGGAAGGAAGGAAGGAGATGGAACCAAATAAGCAAAGAGTCTCTTTCTAAGCAGTACCCACCAAAGCAGGGCCACTCCACCAGTCCACCTCCTTCATACTCCCCACAGCACAGGACAACGGTAAAATAGGTCTCACTCAATTACCAAAGCCGTCCCTCCGTCCCTTCCCAGCCAACTCATCCATCCATGCTAGTTGCTACTAGTACTCCTACAAATTGTTTTTCTTTTTCTTTATTTAAAAATTCAAAAATTTAAATAAAATTAAAAGACTGGGATATACAAGTAGTTAATGTTGCTTGATGGCTGATTATTATAGACTGAAACTCAAATGCTACAGTATTATTCTGGAACCTATAATGGTAGTAATAATGGGCATATATGATTAGTTAAGGCAGTATTTTTATTTTTTATTTTTTAGTATGTTAGTAAAATGCAGGCTAATTTGATTATGTCCCTGTGTCATGGGGCCGGCAACGTTCCTCATATGCTGCTGAGGTTGCCACGTGGTTCGGCGTCAAAGGTGATGATCTTGGACGGGCATGCTCGGCGGTGTCGACGGGGTCAAGATTTGGATTTCTGCCGATAAATTCATTTTTTTTTCGAATTCTTCAAATTCGTCATAAATAATCCTCAGGTCAACTCATTGTGCCTCTAGCCCTATACTTAACTGTACTACCAATAAAAACGCAAAATCAAGGCGTGCAGCTGAGATTCCAGCAGAGTTTATCTTAGCTGTGCTCATATAGTAGTAATTGTTTGGCTGTGCTCATTATTGTAGCCCTGAACTATGTTATATGTTCCAAACCACTTGACTTATTCTGTTTCAATTAATGTGATTGGTGAAGCTCAATAAATTTAGAATATTGTGGATTGGTGAAGCTCAATAAATTCAGCAGTGTGTGATATGGGATTGGATTTGTCTGAATTTAGTTTTCTTGAAGTCTTCTTTATACTTAAAAAATTTGGATTTCTGGATAATTTAGTTGTTTTGATGCCTTGTCTATACTTAAAAATTTGGATTTATGATTTCCATTGACTTGCATTTTCCTTCTACTTTCTTTGTTCATTTTTTATCCTCCTGAGTCAGTCCGTCAGTTGGAACTTCAAAAACAAAAGAGAATTTTTTTTTTCTCTCTCATGAATATTACATAAACATTTAAATTAAAAATTCTCACTTCTGATCTAAAGAAAGTTAACGTTCCTTGTTTCTGAATGTCAATCAATTACTTCCTGTCTCGTCTGGAAGATTTATTAATTTTCTCCTTCAAACAAAAAAAGATTAAATTTCCGAATTCCCAAACACGACTTTAGAAGAAAGCTGGAAAGATAGTACTGTAGTAATTAATTATTTGGGTTCTCGGACACACCTTGTTTGACTTCTCCTTGGTCCTTAGTTCGTGGTTGTTGTGTTAAGAGAGCATTAGAATGACTTCTCCTTGGAAAAAAAAAAAAAAAAAAAAGATGAAAAAAGAGTCACTTTCACATAGTTGTCTGGGCAAATAAAAAAGAATGTTCTTGTTGCTATAACCTCCTAATAAATAAAGCATTGGTTGGTGTGTAACATTGCATTAACTCTCACCTCAGCCTGCTGCGTTTGTCCCCTGCTGTTTTCCCATTTATTAACCTCTAATTAAAAATAACAAAAAATTCAATTCAAACAATATATGAAATAGGTTGAATTATCTCTCACATGGAAGTTCACTTTAAATTTTCAATGGCTTATTATTTGTCGATGCTAAATCTCTCAATACCATTTTTCTTGGTTTAAACAGAAAATTTAAACATTAGAATCCTGACTTCAAATATTTTAACCGATCATGATTCAGAGGAGAGAATATAAGTGAAAGATTCCAGATACGAGACCTCCTCTGCTGCTTATGCTTAAAAAAAAAAGAAAAAAGAAAAAGTGGCCATGATCTAATCTTGATTTGGAGGCCAAGAATAACAGTACCGTAGTATCTATGAAATTGTCAACAACAAAATTGTATCTTAATACGATAGCTTTCTGTTATTGTCGAAGCTCCATTGTCCGCATACCGTTCTAATATCTTTGCCATTTGGGTTACATATATTCTATACATATCGAATGAACCATACATATTTGATGATGTTGATCACAGGACCTGGTGTGATCTACTTACCTATGCAATCAAAGTTTTGGAAACCGCCAAAAAAAAAAAAAAAAAGAGTTTTCTTGGCAAGTGTTAATTAGCAGATCTTTAGATTTTTCATTCCTCAGTCTTTCATCCATGGGAGCTCCGGAGGGTGAATAATTAGTTACGCACAACTCTCATTTCATGATGACTATAACATAGCGGATGGATACTCATCACCCCCGCAGCCGCTGCATCAGAAAGTTATACTTTAAAATAAAATTTTGGCAAACTTTAAGCTTCTTGATTGTTTAAATTTATACTTTATTCACTTGGCAACCTTCAGGATAGAAAGATTAAAAACATGGTCTCGAAAGAAATCTGATTCTTCAAAAGTAGTTATGAGAATCCACAAGACAGCAGAGAGATAAGAACTTAACCCTGAAGCAGCGCCAAGAAATTAATTTACTACACACTTCTTATCTTAGAATTGATGAGTATCTTATTGAACTTTGAGCACAGACAGAGAATATTTAGTAAATGGAGGGGGGCAAAAAAAAGAGAACGTAATCTTAGTAAAGATCTTTGACTCCTGTAAATCTGGTTCAATTAAATAAAACCACTTGTATGAATCTGAGAGCAAAGTTTGAAGATCTTCTCTAGTACTTATTATTATTAATCCAGCCTAGTTTAAAATCGAGATGAGTAAACATCTGTTGGTTTAATGTCAGATTATGTAAGCCATGTGAGATGTTGGGGATCTTCAGCTTAAACAATAAATGATGAATGGACAATTTTTTGTTCAAACATGACCAGTGCTGTAGGGGACTACAACCATTTCTTTTTAATGGCTCCTAACCTCTTATCTCGCCATGGAATCCCTTCTATTATTAAATGGTACTCGATCAATTTAGATGATCAACAAACCGTAGTAACCTTACAGATATATGTACTGTGTGTACGGGAAAAAAAATACTGTAATACTTTTTTTGATGTGATGTATATGAGATAAGAAGTTAGTTAAAAAATATATTTATAATGCAAACAAATAAAATTATGCAAATAATAAACTATCAAAACAAACCTGCGACATGACTTGTTGCATATGACTACGTACCTATATTTTCTACTAATATGAACAGCATTTATTGAGTAAAATTGAAGTCATGGGAATTGAAACTCTCAACCATTTAGGATAATGGGATTGTGCGGGCGCTGTTGTCAGTGGGGTTAACTGGTTAAGACCTTTTGTTTGTGGAGGATGTATATTCATGATTTTAAAGTTGCTTTCTCCACATTCCTCCCCTATTATAGCAATCCAAAAAGTATTGATTTAGATTTATTTAATTTAAAGAATAGTCAAGGATTGAAGGATTAAAATATTCTCGTGCTCAAGATAGTGATGGCAGGACGAAAGAAGATTAGAACAAAAAAACATATTAAAGCTCATGTTATCTGCCGATATGCGTTTGATGAGGATTCAAAAAGGCGAACTACTATTTTGACACCAAAAAAAAAGAAAGGCAAACTACTAGTTAAGCATGTTTTTTCCTATGCAGTCCTGTCATGATAGTGTGGACACCTATTTGAGTCAACAGTCAGAATTTTGTAGCTAGATCGAAGAACACTGGAGCTAACGTAAAACGCCTCTTTGTTTTTTTTTTTTTTTTGTAAAACGCCTCTTTGTTGTTCGACAATATTTTTCTCAACTAATCAACGCGAAATTGTGGACTACTTTATCTAGGTGGTGTCTCATTCCCAATCAATCACAACGTTATTTTTTTTAAGTTTGGATGATTTTGACTCCATTCAGCATCATCACGAGTCAAGAAATGTTTCGAGATCGTAAATCGATTAAAAAAGTATTTATAGACTACTCATTAAAACAGTTCTCAAATCAGCTATAAGAATCGAATATATGAACACAGTTATTGCCTTCAAACCGGAATTCGACCTGACCAAGTGTTAACCAATTATAATTTATAACGTAGAAGATGAGCAACTATTAAAGGTGCTATAATTGGTTATTCAAAAAAGAATACAGTACTATTTCTAATCCGGTACAGTTACTTAAGCTTTTCCTAGAGTTATTTTGGAGTGGAGGCCAGAAGAGTGAGATTATCGGTCGGTCATGGGTGAAAGAGTAGATAGATTTGAGGAAGTATCTCTTCCTTTTTCTTTCTTCTTTTTGTGTTTTTTCCCTCCAATCCTCTTCCCCGTAAAGACTTTTACGCTCTAGTCTAGACCATTGTATTGGCTTTATATGTGCATTTGATCTTAGGCAAAAGGCCAGGAAAAAGTCTATGGTAATATCAGCACATGCTAATAAAATATGAGTAAATTTTATATGCACAGATAGTGTATACACTATTACCGTTATATTCATGACATATGTGTAAAAGTTAAATTTGACGTTCAAAATTTGCACAGTGGTCATTCATCCAATGCTGACACTGTCAGTGTAGGGAAGATTAATCCATAAAATATTTGCATCCCTTATTTTTTTTAAGAGCTCCTTCCAAGACTTGATAATCTATCTCCCCCAGTGAATTTTTTTTTTTTTTTACCTTCACTTTATTTAATTTGTACTACGTAATGTAATTAGTAAGCGGAGTCATCTGTAGATTTGGTTTCATACTGTTATAACATTAACCGAATTGCTGGTATTATGTCCAAGGCTGTTCTTATAGAAATATCTGTTCAAGGCTTCGCTAATATAAAATGGCAAAGGGTTCACTTTTTTTTTTTTTTTTTTTTTTTTGAAGAAAAGGCAAAGGGTTCACTTAAATATTACGAAAAAGGGGGGAAAAAAAGGCACGCACACACGCACATATAGAGAAGGACAAAGACGTCCATGTGATTCGCTTTTCATGTGATGGATAGAAGAGAACAATTGCACGGTAGGGTGACCGTGTCGTCGGTAGACCATAGCATAGAACCGACTAAATATTCAATTTAATATGATAAATATATAACTCGAGTAAGAGGAAAGCGTCCACGACGCAGCACCCATAACCACAAGTGCTTTTCAAAGTTTAATCCACAACCTATAGAGATGTAAGAGGGGAAAAATGCACTTTTCATCCCTAATGTTTAAGGTGTTAACCAATTTCATCCCTAAAGTTTCATGCAAAACACATTTTATCCTTATAATTTTATAATTTTGATTAATTTCATCCTTCAAGTTTTACGCAAACACATTTCATCCTCATAATTTCCTAAATTTGGCTAATTGAGGACAATTGGTAGATTGTCAAGCAATTTGAATGGGATAGCGTCACTTGATCACGGCATGCCTATTAGGTAAAAAAAAAAAAATTGGATCGACAAAAAGCTCAAAAATCTTTTCTTAATTCACTTTCTCATTTTAATACAAAAAAAGACTAAGAAATTTTTAGCTACGATTACTTTCTTTTTAATCACAATCGAACAAGAAGATCCAAAGAAAATGAAGTCAGTGGGAAAGAAACAATCCCACTATAGCCAATTGAAGAAAAATGTCAAACAGACCCAATACAACTAATTGGAGAAAAATATTAATGCAAAAGAATGAATGGTTTGGATTGTCATTTATTTGCAAAATTTTGTTTTGTTGCATCATATACTTATTTTTCAATCATCTATTTATCTTTCAATCTATTTATTTAGTTTCAAATATATCATATCACAATTTAAAGGGAAAAAAAAGAGATAGTCTCCTATCCAAAAACACTTGTTGTTATTTCTATACATTAATCAATAATTGA